CCTGTCTAGATGGGGTGAATTTCCATCATCCTGGGGAGTTCTTGACCGACCCTACTCCTCCACTGGTAACCATTCTGCTGTTCTACAACTTAGGTTAGCTTTACCTCTTCTAGAAGTTCATATAAATGGAATCATATGGTACCTATTTCTTTGTTTCTGCTTTGTAATTAGGCATAGTATCTGAGGTTTGCCTGTGTTGCACAGATCGGTGTGGATTTGCTGGGTAGTGTTCCATTGTCATACACACCCCAGCTTACCCATTTGACTTGCTTATTTTGAATCTGAAAATAATGTTTACATCCAGGGTGGTGAAACAGGTTAATGGCAGGGGCCTGGAAGATGGAGCTGGGGTAATGGCTACAGTGGAGGGGAACTTAGCAGCAAATGTGAAAAAATCCCTACAGAAAAGCCTGGTGCAGGGCGAATTGATGGCGCCTTCCTAGAGAGCAGCTTGATAGTGTGTATCACGTGCCTTACAAATGCTCCTGCTTTGCCCTAGTAGAACCTCTGCAGAGCCAAGTACTGCCAATATCAGAACCTAGAGTCAGAGCCCAGCATCACTAACTGGGGAGATCGTGAGTGGTGTAAAGGCAGGGAATAAGGCTCAGTTCCTTGTGTGTTTATACCTGAGGGTCACCGCCCGGCTATCGGAAGTGACGGTCAGCTTTTGCGTGTGGTGGAAAGTGTGATAAGCAAGAAAAGCAGAGCTCGCAGTGAGCTCTCATGCACAGAGAAGAGCCTGCTTAGGGAGATGCTAGGAAGAACCCGCGTCCTAACTGGTTCTCTGAGGGGTCTGCCACAGTGATTTTTGTCTTGTACTTTCTGATGCTCTTCCCGGTTATGTACAGTAAGCTGCGGAAACCAGTGAGGGCACCTGTGGGAGAAGAGCAGAGGCTGTTTACTGGAAGCACCTGCAGCCAGGGAGTGGGCCACCTCCTGACTTGGGGACAGACACTTGGGGACAGGCAGGGGAGTGGCAGCACTGCCGGCTGGAACCGGCTTCCAGGGCCCCTGATGGGGGCTGCAGGCTGGGGAGGCGAGCAGCCCTTGTGGTTTCGTGGGCAGCACGTTTGGATTTTTCTAGGAAGTGGGGACAAATATTAGGGCAGCCGTCGGTCATTGATGAAGCCCTGGGTCCTTGGGGTGACTGTTACAGACGTCGTCAGCTTCCTGGGTTGTCATGGAGATACAAGTCTTGACTTCCTGGTCTGTGTTAATCTTAAAAATGAAAGTCAGTTATTTTACTAGCGAAAATGGATTTATTTGGGTGAAAAATTAGTGAAGAACACCTCATTTAGAACGGCCTCAGGAGGCCGGCAGGAGCAGCGCTGCCGCCCCCCACTCACTGACCGCAGCAGACCCAACAGGAAGACACGCCCCTTGCCCATGGATACTATGTTACCTTCCCAGCAGGACGAAGGAAGGTTTCCTCCTGCCCTGGCAACAGCCCAGCCAATGGGAGGCCGTCGCGGCCCAGCCAATGGGAGGCGGTCCCGGCTCAGCCAATCACAGGTGGTCCAGCCTGGCCAATAAGAGACTGCCCCAGCCCAGCCAATGAGAAGCCTCTATGAGCTCTCCGTTTACTCCAACGGACTTTCCGTTTACAACAGCCCCACTCCCTGCCCCCAGAAAAGCGCCTCCTGTGCGATGTTCTCGGGTTTTTCCGTAGCCTGCTTGTCCTGCATTGAAACTCTGTTATTCCCAGATAAGTCCGTCTTCTGCTGGTGAAACAACTGGTAGGTTTATTTCTAAGGTTAGCAGGACGTGCACGCTCCGGCGACACCATAGGCAAATCCGACGCAGGCGAGTAAGGAGGGAGCTGGAGGAAACGAAGTCCCTTGGAGAAACGCGGGAGCTCGGGGTGCGGAGGGTTTCCCGCGGGCTGAGTTGCGGTGTCGGTTTCCTGTGGGAGACGCGGGCGCGTATTTCCGGGGGGGAGGCTGTCGTTGCCGTGAGTGGTACTGGCTCCCGGTTCTAGCTTCTCCGTTTTAGGAGGCTGCCTTTATTAGCTTTCCTGGCTGGTTGCTGCAGGTTAGGGGTTGGCGCCCTGCATGGATCTAGCTGGTACCCTGTGTGTGTGCGTTCTTTCAAAGCAAATACTAACAGGGGCCCGCCCCAGGCTTTTCCTGATGTGATGTGTTCCTAGTGCTGTCTCGGCTGTTGTTAACAGGAGCAGCTGCGGCAGGCCCTGAACTCAGCCTTGGTGCGGGAGGCTCCCGCTGCACTGACCACGCACGAGCTCATGTCTTGGGCTTCCCCGAGGAGAGGGAGATGGGGCCCCAGGGAGCTGGGTGCTTGGCGTGGCGTCTTGCGCTGTGTGAGCTGTGGGTCTCTCGCTGCTCCCAGCGGCCCTGGTGTTGCTAACCGACCTCGCTATGCAGGGCTCGCAGAAAGGCTGGCTCTGAGTCATTCTCTTGGTAACTTGGGCTTCGTTATGTTATTTGGGTGAGTTTCGCTGGGCTCTAAATTAAATCGGTTATCATAGAGTTGGGATTTTAGATTTGGTTGAAAAGAGGTACTAAAAGACAAAGTGACTTGCCACAGAGGAACCCTGGAGACGTAATTTTTTCCCCCAACACAGTGTATCTTGTAGTTTGACAATTTCATATTAATTCTTCATATACTCATCAATTCTAAGCAAGTGATTTTTACACAAATACTGACAGAAAAAAGCTTCTGTAAAAGTTGAATTTGCAGCCACAACAAAACCCTTGAGTCCTTTGCTACCAGTAGTGAGTGAAATCTTTTTCGTGTGTTTTGGTGGTAAACCTGTTTATTCATTTGTTTAAAAACAGTCGGTAAGTCAGTGTGTGGCCGGTGTTCTGGTAGGAATGGCGGTGGTTTCAGGCCTCAGAGTTGGAAAGTCACCCGTGTGCTGTTCTGGGGAAAGCAGTCCGGGAGGGGAATGAGCTACAGTCACTCAGTGCTTTAAAGCTTTCAGTTTGAAATAACCACAGATGCGCAGGCCACTGTGAAGAAATGACGTGGAGCTACAGTGTTGACATTTAAATGGACATGCAGACCCACGTGTCTTCCGTGTGACCATAGAGCTGAGTGATCCTGTGTGCGCACACGTGGTTCTGTGCGGTCAGAGCACATGCATAGCTTCATGGACCCACTACACCCACCTCCTCTCTAGGTCATGTTAGAATGTTCTGGAAATGTATGCCATATGCAACAATTTGAGATGGGCTTTCTCGCTCCGCATAATTCCCCTGAGACCCCTCCAGGTGTGGGTGTCTCTGGGGCACGCTGCCCTCCTGCTGAGTGGCAGTGTGGGACCGGTGCCCGAGTGTGTCAGACGCTCCCTGGTGCTGGGCTTTGTTTCCACGGGGTCATTATGTGGGTAGAGCTGCTAGGAACATTCTTGTGCAGGTTTTGGCATGAATGTTGGCTTTCATTTCTTTGGGATAAATGCCCCCACGGTCACTTAATTTTAAAAATTTCTTAAAATGTTAAACGTATGGGGGTGAGATCTATGACATCGAAAGGAAACCCCAGGGACAGGGGTCCTTTCTCTTTCTATCTAACGGTGGGGCTGGCAGGAGTGAGTCCTCAGAGGGGCTCCTGGCGGGGGTGCAGAACTTCAGGGGCCTGAGTGCGGACAGCACAGGCACCACCCCCGCCCCAGCCTGGTTCTTGGGGGCCCCTGGGCACACCAAAGTAATAGGCCAGCAGCAGTCACAGAGAGCCACTGGATTGATTTTTCTAAAAAAAAAAAAAGCAAAAAAAAAAAAAAAACCTAAAAATTTACAAATTTAAGACTAATCCTCTTTATGAATAACTCAAATTACTTGAAATAAGGGACGCCTGGGTGGCTCAGAAGCATCTGCCTTCTGCTCAGGTCATGATCCCAGGACCCTGGGATCAAGTCCCCACATCGGGCAGGTGGGGAGCCTGCTTTTCCCTCCCCCTCTGTTGCTCCCCCTGCTTGGGCTCACTCTCTCTCAAATAAATAAATAAAATCTTTTTTTAAAAGTTACTTGAAATAAAAATGTTTAGCTACTTTATGAACTTGAGGAGAGAGAAACTTGATGCATTATGGCTTACCTTTGTTCTAGAAAGGGTAGACCTCACACGCTGCTTGTGGTATGCCCTGAGAGTCGGCTCCAGAGCCCTCCTGGTGCCTGGCCAGGTGCTGCAGGTACCAAGCTGGGGCCCCAGACCCTTCCTGCTCTGCTTTTTAATTCTCCAGAGATCTCTCAACCTAGAATCAGTTCAAAAGAACAGTTTGCTCCTGTTTTGGCTTCTGAGAGCAGACATCTAGTGAGCCTGCTCTGGTATATGAGACCGGTGCCACCCCAGAGCCTCCAAGTGCATCCTAACCTGCCCCAAGGTGTCTGGTCCTCCAGGTTAGAATGGCGGCTGGCCTCGGAGTCCCCACCTGTGCCCAGTGAGGCGGAGTCCAAGCTGTACCTTGGAGGAGGGGGGACACAGTTGTCTAGGGAATCGGCCCAAGTGTCATTCCTCCCCCGCCCTCCCCAGCTGAATGTGCTGCCAAGACCCTGGGCTGTGAAGGCTTTGGCCCTCTGGACCCAAGGGGCACATTTCGGCAGGGCTGTGGCAGGAAAGCCCTGAGGGGACAACGGCTGCCCGTGGCGGGGACCCCTGGTCGTCAGCTTGGGGGCACAGGCTGGGGGGCGGCAGGCAGGCCAGCACCTGTCCCGTTTCCCCCATGCTCTCCTCCCTTGTAGGCCCCAATGCCCAGAATTTGGGTGTAGAGTTTCAGCCTTGCTCTGTACAAGTGTATTTCCTGTATTTGTAGTCCATTTGTCTTTTCTGATGGAGATGGGGGCGGGGAGTGCTTTAGAGCTCTGTCGTGTGTCAGAGCCCTCCCTCCCAGAAGCTGGAGCTCCATGTGCTCCCGGGACCCCAGCGGTGGCGTTACTGCAGCCAGGCCCCTTCCTACACCCGCCTTTGACAGTTGAAGACTGAGTCTCGGGCAGGGTCTGCTGGGGACTCTGGAATGTGCTAAATGGCATCCTCCTTGCTTTCCACAGGGCACGATGTTTGCACGAGGCTTAAAGAGGAAAAGCGCCGAGGACGGGGAGGACGTGGAAGGAGGCCTGGCAGGTGCGCAGGCCACGCCTTCCTACAGCCTGCAGCGCCAGTCGCTCTTGGACATGTCCCTGGTCAAACTGCAGCTGTGCCACATGCTGGTCGAGCCCAACCTCTGCCGCTCGGTCCTCATAGCCAACACAGTCCGGCAGATCCAGGAAGAGATGACCCAGGACGGGGCCTGGCGCGCGGTGGCGCCCCAGGCGGCAGGGCGGGCGCCACTGGACCGCCTCGTCTCCACTGACATCCTGTGCCGCTCGGTGCGGGAGCCGGAGGGAGAGCGCCCTGCCCCTGACGCAGGAGATGGCCACACGCCAGACCTGGTTCCGGGACTTGCCGCGGTCCCGTCTGCACAGGCCCTGAGGAGCCCGCAGAGCGGCCTCTGGGAAGTGGACAGCTCTCGAGAAAACAGAGGCGGCTTTCAGAAGTCCCTGGATCAGATATTTGAAACGCTGGAGAATAAGACGTCTGGTTCTGTGGAAGAGCTGTTTGCAGACGTGGACAGCTCCTACTACGACCTGGACGCGGTGCTCACGGGGATGGTGGGCAGCAGCCAGTCGGGCCACGGCAGCGGGCTCCAGGCCTTCTCCTCCACGACCGCGCCGCCTCCCAGTTCCAGCTGCAGGTCGGATCTGGGTGAGCTGGACCACGCGGTGGAGATCCTGGTGGAGACTTGAGAGGGCAGCTGTGCCCTGATGGGACACGTTGCGGATGGATTCATCAGGCATCCGGAGTGCTTGGCCTGTGATGCTTGCTGCCCTGCGTCTGTGGGCTCAGCGCCTGGTTTGTCTGTGATGAGGGGAACGTTCCAGAACAGCATCCAGTTGCTCTCTCCCATTTCTCCCCAAGGGGGCTAGGCGGTTTTCCTTCGGGCTGGTCGTCTGGGCCAGTCTGACATCCCGCTGGCCTTGGGCACTCGTCCCCTCTGTCCTGCTGCAGCTCTGTGGAGGGCTCGAGTTGCCAGCTCTGTATCCAGCCTGGTTTAACTTTAGATAGGTGAATTTTTTTAAATTAAGTTTTACATGTTTTGGGCAATATTTTGTCTTAAGATATATTTTTTAAACTTTTGTACTTTTATCTTTTTAGATTTTTTCAGCTATTTTCTTAAAAGTATATTTTTTCTATAAACATTTTCTGCTGCTACATTAGAAACTTATAACCTAAACAGTTGCAGTTGGTGTATTTCTTTTTTTAAGGTTTAAGTAAGGACTTTTTTTACATGAAGCTTCACTCCATGTAGCATACCTAGGTCGTGAATTTTCACTTGACGTTTGTGTGAACCTTTTCCTGTCCTCTGTGACGATTAGAGCACCTTGCATAGCCCCACCTTTTATTCTTGAGTGTCATTACCAGATCTGCTGTGCCAGCCCTGTCTTCGTTAGAGTTACGTGGGGATTTCAGAAGGTTTTATTTATGCCTATTTATATGTATATGTTGGAGGCGAGGGTCAGATCCTGTCACTCGGTCAGATTGTGGGCACCCCAGGTGTCTCAGGCGGTGCCTTCAGAGGATCTGACTCTCGGGGCCCCTCTTGTGTGGTTTTCCCAGCACGATGGGCCTCTCCCCGGAAGATGCTGCCCCCCAGCGTGCCTCACCACTGTAGAGGGCCTCCGACTGGTATGGACATTAATCAAGGGAAACCTAATGGAGTGGGGAGGCCTGAAGGAGGGGGCTCTCACTCCGTCCCACTGGACATCAAGGATTGTCGATCACAAACCCAGCAGAAGAATCCTCAACAGGAAAGAGTCCGTTGCAGGCCCCACAGGAAAAGGTGCACATTGCATCTCCCACCAGAAACTACCGGCCCCAGAACCTCAGCCAGAGACAAGCCCTCATCACCCAGGACTCCCGCTTCTCTCCAGTGCACTTACGTTCCAAACAGCCCTTCCAGCTTCCTTCTCTCTCCATAAATAATGTTCCTCTCATTTGTTTGTTGGACTTGCGTATGGTTCTGCCGTAGCAGGTTGCAATTCTGTTATTCCTGAATAAACCCATTTTACTGGTAAAAAGGTCAACACTAGCCTAGCTGCTGGACGCACATTTGCTGGGCTGGTGTGCACAGAGGCCACCGTGTGCCAGGTGTGTGTGGAAAGGGCGCTGGACTGGAGAGTGCCCACGCTTGCTTTGGTGCTGGGACAGAACCGTGAGGTGAAGTCTAGAATTAAATCTGGACACTCATCATCGTATGACTTCTCAATCCTGAGGGTGGTTGACAGTGGGGTTGGCGGAACAGTGCTGCGGAAGTGAGCTTTGGGGTATCCTGTGTGCTCCCTGTGACCCTGCCCTGGACACTGGGAACACCCACACCTTTTTTATTTTTTCACTGGTTTACAAGTAAGCCTACACTCTCCGCCCCACCCCTGCCCATCTCTTGCTTCTCGCGCTTTTTCTTCTTTACCCAGCCTTTAGCCAAAACAGTCTGTTTTCTTTCCTGCATAAAACCTTTCTTTAATATCAGCCATGTACCATTGCTTTATTAAAAATTACCCAGCAAACGAAATGGAAATGTGTTCATTATCAGCTACAACATAATCCTCGAGGGGCTTATCTGTTTCACTTGGATGTGTTAAATTGGCACTTTGCCAACCACACAGGCTTCGAAGTTCAGCACCCGCTTCTGCCCCAGTTGTGGGGCTGGGGGGAGGGACAGTGCCCTGGAGGGGCCAGCAGCAGGCTGAGACTTCCACGGACGGCTTCCTTCAGATTCTGAACGTACTTTTTCCTCGTGGAAATAGTCCACGTGTCTTAATAAACAAGCCTGAAGCAGTGTGAAAAATCAGTAAAAGGACACCTCATTTAGAACGGCCTCAGGAGGCCGGCAGGAGCAGCGCTGCCGCCCCCCACTCACTGACCGCAGCAGACCCAACAGGAAGACACGCCCCTTGCCCATGGATACTATGTTACCTTCCCAGCAGGACGAAGGAAGGTTTCCTCCTGCCCTGGCAACAGCCCAGCCAATGAGAGGCCGTCGCGGCCCAGCCAATGGGAGGCGGTCCCGGCTCAGCCAATCACAGGTGGTCCAGCCTGGCCAATAAGAGACTGCCCCAGCCCAGCCAATGAGAAGCCTCTATGAGCTCTCCGTTTACTCCAAGGGACTTTCCGTTTACAACAGCCCCACTCCCCGCCCCCAGAAAAGCGCCTCCTGTGCGATGTTCTCGGGTTTTTCCGTAGCCTGCTTGTCCTGCATTGAAACTCTGTTATTCCCAGAAAAATCCGTCTTCTGCTGGTGAAACAACTGGCAGTTTTATTTTCAAGGTTAACAAGTACCTTGTGTCCTTATATGATTTCTTTAAAAATTACATTTTCAGGCTCAGTGGCTGCAGCGCCCATTTGCCCTGGAGCAGTTCAGAGAACCGGTGCGCTCAGGACGGCCGGCCGAGCAGGGCCTCCGGCTTGGGGGTCCCCACCTCGCTGACACAGCTGCTCCTGCCGGCCGCCCTTCCTTTCCCCCTTTGCTCTCCTGTTGTCTCCCAGCTGTCCGCTCCCATTCCAGGGGCTCCCTCCCGTGGGGCGCCTCACGCCCACCTGGTGGCCTGGCTGCCCTGGGCAGGGCCAACTCTGCAGGCCCTCTGTCATCCCAGCCAGGCTGGCTGGTGGGCCCCTGACCGCAGATGGCCCTGGAAACATGTGAGCGCCTCCAGAGAGGGGCAGAGGCAGGTGGCCAGTTGCCGAGGATGCATCCCACCTGCACGCGCAGGACTCCGGCCGTCCCAGCGCCGCTGTCGGCCACAGCATGCTAAGGCTCCTGTCCTCACCCCACCTCTCCTGCTGCCTCTCCGGTGGGGAAGGGGAGCTCTGCGCTTCTGGGCTCTGGGCAGGGGAAGCCGGGTTTGAGGGCAGCGGGTCTCGGCTGCATGTTCCCTGCTGCTCCCGAGCATGGCTGAGCCTCTGCCCGCCCTCCTCAGCCAGGACGGGCCTCGGGTATGCCTGCCACCCCGCTGCCCCTGCTGTCTTGGCTTGTGGCTCCCAGGGCGGGCGCGGGCCCCGCCGCGGTCCCCCGGAGCCTGGAGGAGGGGAAGCAGGTTTGAGGGATGACAGCCGGCCTGTGAAAAATTCCAGAGGGGCCTCGCCCTGACAGCCCCGAAGGTCACACGAAGGTTGCACGTTGTGGCCGCCGATGGGCCTTACGTTGGAAGAGCCTCTGAACCAGCAGCCGTAAACGTACGTGGAGTTGTCTTTCTGGATAGCAAGTGATGGGATGACAGCTTTGTCACAGGGCTCGGGGGTTAAGAAGTGCAGTCGAGAGGCCCCGTGGGAGCGTGGAGACAGGCAGTGGTTAGAGCGCCGCTTTCCTGCAGTTTGTGATGTTTCTTGCTATCGCCTTTTTAAATTCTTGGAAACTGTTTCTTTTCTCGTTCTGTTCTCTTTTTGTGGCTAATTTTGTACTTGTAGTTTTGTAGTCTTTGGGGAAAAAAGCCCCCAAGTCTATAAACTGCAGCGGGGCGCTCCTTGGGGAGGTTAGCGAGCTCACTGACGGGGTGGGGGCCTGGGGCTGTCGCCGGGCAGCGCAGTGTGGCCTTCTCTACCTGCGCTGGCCTTGTCGTCCCTGGGGCACTGCCCCTACACGGAGGCCAGCGTCAGAACGGCCATGGGCGGCACCTGCTGCGCATGTCGGAGCCGGCTGAGCTGAGCCTAGCGGGGTGGCCGGGCGCTGGGCCCAAGGAGGTGCTGCTCCATGGGGGCCCCACCTACCGGATGGCAGATGAGCCAGGGCCGAGAGCCGGGCACAGGCCCGGCTGTGCTTCCTGCCCTTGCACTGGAGGGGCCAAACCCCTGGAAGCCAGCCTCCAGAGGGCCTCTGGCCGGGGTCTCGCTCTTCTCCCGCCTAGGCTACCGGCCTGAGAGCGTCATCAGCACCGAGGCCCCAGATGCAGGACAGCCCCCTCCCGGGGAGGACACAACAAGGAAGGGAGCCTGCGTCCACGGTGGCCCCGAGCAGCTGCTGAGCACCCCGAGTCCCCTCATCCTGAGGGGGCCTCTCTGCCCTGTGTCCCGGGATCCACCCAGCCCAGGGCCAGGGGTGGGGCAAGGTCGGGGGCCTGGCCCAGTTCTTCAGTCAGCGCCTGTCTGCCCAAAGCCCAGGCCTCACGGTGAGGACGGAGACGTGGGTGAGCTCCCTGCCCGTGGCCCTGCTGTGGGGGCCCGCCCAGCCGGATAGGGAAGGCTCCCCGGGGAGTCTGGTCGGCACGCGTGCACGCGGATGGGGGCGTGCGTGTGCCTACTGGAGGAGGCACGGAGAGGATGATTCCCCGGGGGTGGTTTGGGGTTTGCCTATGTGTTACTGGACTGCTGTTCATGTGCCCCAAATTCATATATTGGAATCTAACTTCACTGGGCTGGCGTGAGGAGGGGCCCTCCGGCAGGTGCCCTCATGATGGGCTCGAGCCCCTGTCAGAGGAGATGTGACAGCTTGCTTCCCGGCTGCCCTCTGCCCCGCAGACGCACAGCGAAGGCAGCCGTGAACCAGGAGAGGCCCGCGGCGACTCCCCGCCTGCAGCACTGTGGGAAGGAGCTTGTCCAGCCTCGCGCGTGGTGGCGCTCTCTTCTAGTGGCCTGAGCCCGCTGAGACACAGCTGAGACACAGTGTCCCCTCCGGCGCCCGCCCCTCCTGTGGGCTGCCCCCCTACCTGGTCCCCGCCCACCCAGTGCCCACCCACGGGGTCCCCGCCGAGTTTCAGAAGCCACCTGCACCGGGAGCTTGGTGCTCAGAGCCCCTGCTTCAGCCCTGGGTCGTCCTTGCAGACAGACCCGGTGGCCGGCTTTGAGGGGCTCCGATGACAGGGAACGGCCCTGCTGAAACCCTGCCCACCGGGCCCCCACCTGCAGCCGAGGGGCTTGCGCTGCTTGCTGCAGGCCAGCCTGGGGACGGGGGCACGATGACTCTTAGGGAGGGGGGCCTCTGGCCACGGAGAAAGGTCCCTTGTAAGAGTGGACACACTCTAGAGCCAGGGAACCGGCCTGGTGCCTGTTGCCAGTGGTGACCAGCTGTGAACCGTTTTGTTTCTTCCTTAAAGAAGCTTAACGCGGGTCTGAGATGTGGAGACGTTTTGCCTGTAAATACATATGAAACTTCAGGACCGCAATCCCGTGTCGTGGTCAGAAAAGGAACACTAATTCCTTCCCACCGGCCGACACGCAGTCATACTCACGTGTCCCCACTGTCCTTTCCCTGTACCTTTGTCAGCGGGGTGCCACACGCAGCCGAATCGGGGGGAGGGCGGGCGGCCGGCTGTCGGGGCGCATCTGGCTCAGTCCCAGGTGCGCGTTACCACAGGCCTCCGCGTCCAGGACTGGGCCCTGGCTCCCCTCGTTGGCTTCTGCTGTCCTCACTTCCTTTCTGCTACTTTCTTTGAACCTAAATCTCTCTCTTGCCAGCACACGACAGCCTTGCTCATGGCTCTTACGCTCGCCTCCTTCCCCGACCCCGGCCCGCGGTCACGGTGGCCCCTCCAGCGTCTCTCTCATGGTGTCCCACCTGTGTCCTCCCCATGTGGCCGCATCCTCCCCGCAGGGCCGCTTACTGGGCTGGTCCAGGCACTCGGACGCGGCCTCCAGCCTGCGGGCGCCAGGGGCCAGAGCCCTGCACGGCGGCCAAGGCCTCCGCCGGCCTGCGTCTGAGCCGTCCGGACATGCGGAGCCCCTGTCCCTCCAGGCTGGGCTCCTGCAGGCTCAGAGCGCAGGTCTGGTCTTCTTCCAGTGGATCCTGCTCTGGGCCGCCGGTCTGTGGCTCTCGTCAGCGTCGGAGAGTTCTTAGCCATTCGCTCCTCTGGGGCTCTGCTTCTGGGCCTCTGATGATGCGGGGGCACACCGCCTGGCGCAGCCCCTGGGTCCTGGGCACCCCGTCCTGTGTCTTCTCCCTCTTTCTGTCCCTCTGCGTCCTGCTCAGATGGTTTCTACTGACCGGTTCGCGATCACGGACTGTTCGTGTCGGGTCCGCCGTCGGGCCCTTCTCAAGAATGGCTCGCGGGTGGGGTGACAGTGTTCATTCCTGGCGCTTCCGTTTTGTTCTCTTGTGTGATTTCCGCGTCTCTCCCGTGTGTGCTCCCCTTTCCCACTGGATCCTCACCACTTCGTCCAACGCCATTTTACGGTCTCGGACCTGCACCGTTTGGGCCATCTCTGCCTCTGCTCCTGTCCACCAGAGATCAGGGGTTCTCGCATTTTCGTGGTCTTGCCATGTCTTGCTAACTGCGAAGCACTCGGTAAGAGAACAGCGGAGACTGAGGTCCATAGCGAGGAGCCGTCAGGTTCCTGGAGGGGCTGAGTCTTGGCCCGCCATTGGGCTGGGCCCGGGCCCTGCTGCAGCTCCCAGAGGCTCCCCGCGTCTCCAGGTGCCGGCAGGGCTGCTGCTCAGCGGGGCCCGACGTCTGAGCCCTGGCCAGGCTCTGGACATCAGCCTGCCTTGCAGAGTCCAGCGCCATGTTTGCAGATCACTGAAGGCTCCCTCTGCCCCCGTTCCAGGTCCTTCCAGCCCGCCATGGCTTGGAGCGCCCAGGCAGGGGCCCAGCTGCCCCATGGAGCCTCTAGAGCGGGGGGCCAGAACCCCAGAGCACCCCTCAGAGGGGGTCTCTCGCTTCTCCAGCCCCCACTTCTGAGAGAGGCTGGCTTCTACTTGGGGATTTTCTGTCAGCCTTCTCTCCTTGCACCCCACTCTGAGCACTCAGTGAAGGCCGAGAGCTGGACGAGGGTCCCTGGGGTCCCCCTCCTCCCTCTCTGCCCCTGGGGGCACTGAATTCCATTAATGTATGTTCCTTGGTATCCTCAGCTCTGTGATTATTTTGAACCCTGACTCTGTAGCTGACAGGGCACGTTCCGGGCGGGGTGACAGGGGCAGCCTCTGAACCAGAGGGGACCAGTCAGCATTCACTCTCCCGGTTCAGAAGGCCCCTCCTTGAGCAGCCTGGCCAGGCACCCGGACACAGCATCAGAGCCAGACTTGATGTCTGCTTGGACGCGGACTGAGGGACAGGGACAGCCCTGGCCTCTGGTGTGGGGGACAGAGCTGGGGGTGCTGGGCTGGCTGGGGGTCAGGAGAGGTCCGCCAGCAACGGGGCAGGGGAGCAGCTGTGGGGAGTCCAGTGCCCACGTCCGAGAGTGACTCAGGGGAGGAGGCAGGACACAGAACGGCCTATTTTGGGTTCAAGTCTGACTTGCACCAAAGGCTGGGAAATGATGGCACATCCCAGGGCGGACGCTGCCCTGTGGTGGAAGAAGTGTGGCAGAAAAGCAGTTTCCAAATTTCCATCTCTTTCTGGCTGAAAAAGAAAAATGAGGGCAGATTTCCCAAACCTACAGCACTAAAAAAAAATCTGATTACTCCTTCACATAAGACACCTGCAGGCTGGTGGAGAGTGACCGCTAACGCCCTTCTCCCCGTGACGGGCGACATCTGCTGGTCACTGTCTGGGTCTGACTCCGGGGTTGACGGAGTGGGCATCTGAGGCCAGCCCCCATCCGCGCTCTCCAGGCAGCAGGTGTGACCCACGCATGCGGGACAGCCCTGGGAGCCGGGCCCTGCCAGACGGACCGGCCAGGGGCTTCGGGCAGGGACAGCCTGCAGCCGCAGGACCTCTGGCAACAGTCCCCATGGAGCAGATGAACCAGCAAGAACGTGGGCTTGTCCAGGCCATTTTATTTAATAAAATTTTACAAAAATCAGTGCCTCCACCAGAACCAGAGAGCGCCTGCTCGGAGTCGGAGGGGAGGGCCGGGCACAGAGAAAGGCCGCCGACAGGCAGTGGTGCAGGTAAGTGCTCCCAGGGCCTTCGCTCTCCCCCAGGAGTGACAGGAACGTGCTCCGGATTCCCTGAGCGTGTGGCGCCTGCCTCGTGCGGACAGTTCCAGCTGAGAGCCAGGCCACCTGGCTGTGCCCCCGGCGGAGCCACGTGGGCAGCCAGGCCTGGGGTTCCTCCCTGGGTGCCCCCAGGGGCCGGCAGCACCTGCACCAGGCAGAGGGCCCCCAGTGCCACCTTGGTTCCTATCATGCTGGGGCGGAGCTCCTGGGGACCCTGGGCACCCCCTTCCTGTTGAGACTGGCTCTGCCAAAGGACACGCTCTTCTAAAGTGGTCACACCCCAAAATGCACCAGGGGGGCGCAGCCTGGGTGCGCACAGGGCGTCCCCGGAAACATGCCCACAAAACAGTTCCGGTTTCCAGTACCAAACCAAGCCAGTAAGAAAATGTAAAACTGATAAAAATACAAAGTACTCCCGTTTTAGTAAATGTCACTATTAAACAAGGTCATTTTTAGGTTACGTGGATTGAAAATCTTCTTTTTCCATGGAATTGTGAGGTACTGCCCGTGTCTGTGTAAGGGGGTCTTCAGAAAGAGGCTGCACGCAAGCAGGCTCCCCTGTCTGCCACCGGACGTCCCTGAGAGCTGATGGGAAAGGAAGGGCATGGTCAGGGCCTACAGAGGCCAGTGGGCTGTCTGCCCCTGGGACCGGCCTGCTGCACCTGCCGCTGGGCCCCGTGTGGCTTTCTCTCCTGCCTTAAGCTCCTGTCATGGTGCAGTCAACAAACACGGAGGCGCATGGGATGGAGCGGAGAGCTCCGTGGCTTCTCCCGGAGCAAAGGGGACACCACACTGGGAGGACAGCCATGCTGTGTGCCCAGGGCCATGCAGGCCTCCTCATCCCAGGTGATCCTATGACCCTGTCCTGAGGGCTTAGTTGGGGTCACAGGGCCCTTCCTGCTCTCGTCTGCAGTGTCCATGGATTTCCACCTACTAGCCGCTGTGGACGTGTAAGCAACTGTGAACGATGCTGCGATGGACATTTCTGTGTCTTGCTGCTCTAAGATGGCCCCTGCCTGCAGTTCTAGAAGTTTCTACCTCCTGCCTTGTGGGGTTTCCCAAAGAGCAGATGAACAGCATGCTTGGACATCCTGGAGATGGCCCTGGCCCGTGCAGCTGGATGACAAGGGGCCTCCCCTGCACTCGCTGTCCACACCAACCACCATCAGAACAGACCCTGGCAGTGGACACCCCCCAGGTGCCACTACTCTCCTGGGGCAGGGGTGCATGCAGAGTGAACCCCACCTGTGCTCCGGGTCCCGGGGGAAACAGACCCCTGCAGGCTGGGCACTGCTCCCCACAATACCTGGCCCATGAGTGGGCAGGTGCCCCCACTCCCAGGAAAAGCTGTGCCCTGTCCTCAGAAGAGGGCAGCAGGAGAAGGCCCTGTCTGTGCACCCCTCCCTCCCGCTGCCCAGTGGGGCCTGCAGCGCCCCTCACCCCCCTGCCCTGCTGCTTACCTGCAGCCCCTCCTGCAGCCCACCGGTTGCCTGTGACGCCTGCGCACCTCCCAGCGCCCGGGGGTGCTCTGCCAGCCCCAGATGGCCGCAGTGCTCCTTCCTCCCGAGTCCGTGAGACTCAGGTAGCAGGGGCCAACACAAAGACCCACGTGGCCAGCACGGCCGTGGCCTGTCCCAGGGGGCGGCTCACCTTGGTCTGGATCAGGGCTCTGCAGGGCTGCAGACGGAAGGTGGGCACACCCAGTTCTTCAGGCTCTTGGAGTTCAGAACATTCCAGAATGTGACCCAGGTCTCCGGAAAGGTTCTAGTGAGACAAGCCACTGTCACACCAGGGGAAGGAAGATAAAGAACCGCTTTCTCTGCGTTTGCCTTGTTAACCCAGACCCCTCTGGCACACCACACCATTAAACTGCAACATGGTCATGACTCAGTGTCATGGTCCTCACCCTCCTGTCACCAGGCTCATAGCCACCCTCTCCCTCCAGACCCGCAGGACCCTCCACCTCCTCAAGTCTTCCACCACCTCCAGAGTGAGCCCTGCACGCCCCCCAGCCTGGCTGCACCTGGAGAAGCCCCACCTCCCCACCTCCCCACCTCCCCTTCAGGCTGCCTGTCCCCTCCCCCATCCTCGTCAGGCCCCTCTGGCTCCTTCCAGCCCTCACGTCCCTCCTGGCAAGCCCCACGTGACCCCGAGGCCCAGCAGCAGCCATCTCCGAGCCCCCGTTGTCACTGAGGCCCATCAGCCACTTTTGGGTTTTCCATGTTTGAAAATTTCCATAATACTAAAAACCAGAAAAGGGTCTTTGCCGACTTGACGGCTGAAAGACTGCTCTGGATACAATTTGCGTTTTCTCTGGTAACTGGCCTCCTCTCTACTCCAGTTTTGCTGCCTCCCACCTCAGGCGCTAGGGACCCACCTGGTGGCTAACGCCACCGACGCGTCTGCGGGCACCTGCCGCTCCCTGTCCCCAGCCCCTGAGCAGAGGCCGCCGCTGCCGGGGGCACTTCTCCACCCTCCCCTCCGCCAGGAGCTCCCGCGCCCCGGCCCACATGCTGTGTCTGTCCTCCCCACATGCTGTGTCTGTCCTCCGCTCGGCCACAGCGCCTCCTCCACCACGTGTCGAGGGTTGGGCCGCACCTGGACATCTGTCAGCCTGGCACAGGGCAGGTCCTGACACCGACGAGCTGACCCGTCTTGCCCCTTCCCTGCCTGCGTTGCTGCATTCCCCCACCACCACCCCTGGAAACCAGTGCGTTTTCTCCCCCACCTGCTGTTTTCTGGCAGCAAGGCCCCCTACCCTCATGCCGTCTGTGTAGACGGCTCCCTGCGGCCTCAGGGTGGCCGGCAAAGTCGCTGGGGGGCAGCTGCACCCCCAGGAGCCCTGTGTCCACCTGACTCACCTTCTGAGCAGCGTCTATTCCAAGAACAAGGAAGAGGTTTTCCTGGCAATGGGACTCACTCCCGAGGCATCGAGAGGCCGACGTGCTATTTGTGTTCTGAAGAGCTCTCCAGAGTTTTCTAGATTCAGAACTGGAAAAGAGATATGTTAATTAAAGAGACTGAGAAACCTTCAGAACAGAAGCCAAGAGGGCACCTGCCCCCAGGGGTTGTGAGAACAGAGTGCTCCCTTCTGGGCCGAGTCATGTGTTGCTTTCTTCAGACGACGCATGCCCCCCGACGAATACCCCACTCCCACCCTCCTCCCCTGGCCCGCTGGGCTCACGGTCACGGCTGAGCGGCTCCTCCAAGGGGCAGATGTCCTGGAGGCCCGGTGCTTCGTGGGATCACAGGGACCACAGGGACACTTGAAAACTAGGGGTGGGGCAGTGATTAGAAGACAACTACTGGGAGTCTGTCACGCGCTGTCCACAGCTAGGAGCCTCCCCCCATCGGCCACGTGCCGTCCACGGCTGCTAGCGCAGCTCCCGCGAGGGCAGGGAAGGTGTTCACACAAAGAACCACGGGAGGGGCAGTTACGCTAAGTGCCCACATCATGTCCAAGCCGTCCTCATGCTTTCACACCCAAGTCACAGCCACTTCCCATCACACACCAGTGTCCAGCCCTGCCAGGCCTGACACCCAGGACCACACGTGTCTCTGGGTGTCTGAGGCTCATGCTGCCACCAGAGGCCCTTCCACCTGCCTGCTGGCCCGGCCCACGCCTTGGGGAAGCACCATATCCAGAGGGCACACGGTGGTGACAGCCTTCCGGGCTCCAGGCCTCTGTCTCCGCGCCCCTGCCGGGGCTCCCTGGGACGGGCCCTGACTGGACCCAAGACCGGAGCCCAGAAGGGCTGGTGTGCAGAACTCTCTGACGAAGAGGGCACGGGGTTAGGGAAGCCAGCTCACACCAACTTTCACCTCCTCCTCCTGTGGCCTGGGCTCAGCGGACCTCGAGCTTTTCGACCACTGCACATCATGCAGTGGGCTGCACTTGCTTTCTCTCAGTGCCCAGTGAAAGCGCATCTGAGGACACGGCCATCTGCGCACACCTGCATCTGTGATGTCCCGGAGCACGGGCCCTGGGGACCACAGCCTTGTCGCTAGCACCAGATGCACTCAGGCTGGCTGACCCTGTGGGTTCACACTGTCCCTCAGGGGCGCCAGCATGTCTTCTCTGTGGCTGAGGATCAGTCGGTCAGGCCCCCCGGGAGGGCCCCGTGCCCACGGCCAGGCCCCCAGGCCCCCAGGCCCTTCTGCACGCCCAGCACTCGCACTGAGACGCCGGGAGGTGGTACCCCCTGTCCACCTCGTTCCAGGTGAACATGGCTCTGGGAGGGGTGACCATGGCCAGAGCATCGACCCGTGCTGCCTGGTCCCTCGTGAGGACCCCATGACCCCAAGGCTGTGGGAACTTCGGGAGAGACGGGCTCTCTGTAAAGGTCCAGTTGGTCAACCGAAAGTATAAACTCAGACTTGCTGTAAGAACGTAAGTTCCTTACCACAGTTGCTGTCCAGATTCACAGCCAGGCAGTTCTAAGATGCGGTCTAAGGGGGAGACGCCTTCAGTTGCCTGCTGGACCGGTACTTCTTGAAAAACAAACCTGAACACGTCCTTGTAGCTGTGCAGAAGCTGGAAAAGAGAAAAACGCACATTACGTGCCCTTACCCCCGATACGTAGTTTTGGTGCAAATGAAGCGTGTGGACAATCAGACCATCGCTGCTGCCACCCTCGCTCCCCAAAATCTCTGCTCTGCACACTCCTGATGAGAAGCACAGGGCGTGGAAAGTGGGATTAGGGCACAGCACTCATAAGCTTCGTCAGTGACACACGAGAAAGAGGCACCTGATAAAAAAGTGTTTCCCGTGTGTCAGCTGGCTGGGAAATCTATCCACACGACAGTAAAGGTGGCCCTTCCTGGACAAAGACCTGAGGTCAGAAGGTTGGGAGTGAGTGTGAAGTGCTGGAATGAACGTCCAAAGTCTGGCAGGAGGTGACAGGAGTGCAAACCAGGAGCTGGAAGTGAGGGTGGGTGTGCACACTGGGTGGAACTGGAGGTGAGGGTGGGTGTGCGCACTGGGTGGGCTGGAGGTGAGGGTGGGTGTGCGCACTGGGTGGGCTGGAGGTGAGGGTGGGTGTGCGCACTGGGTGGGCTGGAGGTGAGGGTGGGTGTGCGCACTGGGTGGGCTGGAGGTGAGGGTGGGTGTGCACTAGGCAGGTGGAGGTGAGGGCGGGTGTGCACTGGGCAGGTGGAGGTGAGGGCAGGTGTGCGAGCTGGGAGGGCGGGGAGCCCCGAGAGCTGTTGGGGGGGGGTGTGTGCAGTGCATATATTCACATCAGCAGGGTGCAGTTTTCTGTCTTCACCTAGTGTCTCTTGCAAAGTTCACATTATTGTCAGAGTGTTCCCTGATCTCTTCGTCCCAGTGGAAGACAAGTCCTGTTTTCAGAACAGCGGGCTAGCAGAGCGGACTGCACGGAGAGCGCCTCCCGCCAGAGGTCCAGGGAAACACTGGTTCAGGAAGCAAACAGTTCATCCCTAGAACCAGCGAAACCTTTTCTCTCGTCCCTTACTCATCTGACTCCTTTTGTTCTCGTGGTGTTCTGAGGTTTCGGGGTAAGCCCTTGGGAAGAGATGGCAGAGGAAGAGGAGCAAGGGAAGGAAGAGGAAGACAAGAAGAGACGGATCAGATGCAGTCATAAAAAAGGTGAAACTGGTGGTCAGGTGAGGAAGGGCAGTGCCACAGGCAAAGGGGACGCGGCCTGGGATCTCCAGGCCATCTCCAGCACCCACCCGGTCAGCACACACAGGCTGGAAGGGACTCTTGGTGAGGCTTTCTGAATAAGGAGAGTGACGATTTGGACAAAAAGCTCTTTCCCGGTGTGCCCTGAACGGAGCGGGGAAGGTGGGCTGGCGGGATGGTGGAGGCCCAGTGCCTGGACTCAGGAGCACTGGGCACACAAGCGCTCGCTCCTGAGTCGCCTCCCAGCATGGTCCAGCCTCCTTCCTTCCCTGGCTCAGGACAGGACAGCCAGCCACACAGGCAGGGACCAAGGCCAGGAGAGAAGCAGACCCCCTCCCGGGCCAGCCCACCGAAGCCAGAGGGTCTGCTGTAGAAATACCTCACAAGGTGAGCTGCCCGCGGCTCCTGGCACCCCAGGCCTGCCCTGGGGAGGCTGGCGAGAACCACGCTCCTTTTGGGTAGAAGCCACTGACTGCCGCCGAGGATGTGGGGGTCTCTCCGGGAGCTCAAAGTTTGGGGAGAACTGTTCAGACTTGGCCGAAGATTCTTGAAAGCCTTCAAACTCCCCCCAGGCGCTGTTGTGCTCCCCGGGGTCCGGGCCGCCGGCGGGGCAGGTAGAAAAGCCCTCCCCGCCCCCGGAGAGCCACTCGGCGCCAGCGCCTCTCCGCCCCGCTGGCGCCTTGCTCGCACCGCTGTCTTTAGAAGCCGGGCAGAGGGAAAGGTCGCCTGCTTCCTCTGCGAGGTCGCTCCGACACCTGCTGGGAGGGGGTGTCTGGCCAGGCCCTGCCCCCCGCTGCCGCTGGCCCTGCATGTCGGTGCCGCCCGGCCCGCGTCCACGCGATGGGGAGCTGGGGAGGTGCTCACGAGACACCCACAGCGCTGCGCCAGAGCCTCCCGGGGCTGCACGGGGCGGGAGCGCGGGGGATGGGGTCGCCCAGGGGCGGGGCGGAGGACAGCCCGGGGCCGGGGTCCCCGCGAGAGCCCGGCCTGCGGTCCCGGCCCGCACCCGCCTCGGCTCACCGGAGCTGCGGCCGCCGCGGTCCCCACGCCCGCCCGTTGCCCGGCAACGGAGCGCGCTGCCCCGCGTCCGGCGTCCTGCGTCGTGACGTCACGCGCCGGCCCGCCCCGCCGTGCGCCTGCGTGTCCCCCACCCCACCCCGGCCCAACTCCTCGCCCCCCGGGAGGAGCGACCCTGGTTTAACGGGAGCGGCCCCGCGCGCCTCTGGAGCCCCGACTCGCCAGCCCGCCGCGAGCGCGCCCTGCCGGGTTGCGCGGTGCGCGCGGGCCTCTCCGTGGGGCTGCCTCCCGCACCGCGCGGCCGACTCCCGAGTCCCAGGGCCGCGCTGTCCCCCGCGTGAGGGCGGATGGCGGTCCGCCGCCTGCGGGCCAGACGGGGGGCGCAGCAGGCCCGGTGTGGGCCCTGGACAGCCAGCCCCTCCTGCTGCCACCCGCCCCCGGGCAAGGGCACTACTGCGGCAGCCTGACCCGCCCGCCAGCTCCCTCCCAGCCCTTCCAGCCCTTTTCCCATCCGCCCCCACCTCCAGGCTCACGAAATCCACCTTGCTGAGTGCGCTTGACTCCAGCCTCCCCAGAAGTGACGGAAACCCTGATCCACACACACCCCGCTCCCCAGGCTCCCTCTATCCGCGCATTTCTCCACCCTGTGACCTCCGTGGGCCCTGTCCTGTTGGCATGAATCACCCGCTCTCCCTGGTCCTTGTCAGCCCAGCTACTGAAAATTTTAATTTTGAAAACTACCAGATGAGCTCATCGCTGACTCCTGGACTGCAGCCTCCTGCCTCCTCCCGTGCTTCCTGAGGGGTACGCCAGCCAGCAATGCAGTCCGACTGCCCAGCTCTGGGCAGACACCTGGGGGACCCTGTGGGAAGGTGGCCAGTGCCGCTGTCCTGCCTGGATGTCACCCCAGGGACAGTGTTGGTCCCAGGCATTTCTGCTGTCTACCCACTGCTTGAACCCCCTCATCCATTGTCCTTGCTGTCCTCGTAGTCCAGGGAGGGAAAGGGGTAGGAGAAAAGTTGTCCCTGTGTACAGGTGGGCAAACTGAAGCCCGGGCCCAAAGGCCCGAGCGAGAAGTGTTGCTGGGGCTGGAACCAGCTCTTGGGAGCTCAGCAGTTTCCCACGCCCTGTCTGGGCCTCAGCGAAGAGTGAAAATGTTGCTGTGACCTTCAGGATGCAGGAGGGCTGACCTGTCTTACTAGCCGTTGGTGGATGAATAATGCCGCCCAGAGATGTCCACACCCTGGTCCCCAGAACCCGTGAATACGGGACCTTACAAGACCTCACGAGGGACTTCACAGACATGGTTACGTTAAGGCTTTTGAGATGGGGACAAAGTCCTGGGTTATGCCATTGAGCCCGATGCCCTTACAAGGAGGAAGCAGGGGGGGTCAGAGTCTGAGGAGCTGGAGAGATGGAAGCAGAGGTCAGAGTGATGCAGGGCTCTGAACGGAGGGATGCGGGCCGCCTCTAGGACCTGAACAGGGCAAGGAAGTACACCTCCCTGGAACCCCAGAAGGAATACAGCCCTCCCGACACCTGGAGCTGCCAGGGCATGAACGTGTCGGTGTAAGTCACGGTGGTTATTTGTTACAGTGGTGACCTCTGACTACTAAAAAGGTGCTGCCTGTGGGAGCCAAGACTCAGAGGAGGTGGCAGAGGTGAACTGACGTAGGGTGCTCAGTCCTGGCTGCAGGTTTTGGGGGGTGTAACCCAGGGAGCTGACAGGTGGCTCCTGGCTCCTCTGGCCAACTGAGCAGAATGGGCATGAGACACGGGGCACAAGCCGAGGGCCAGGCCTCCGGGGGGGGGGGGGCAGGGCAGGTATCTGTTCAAGTTGAAGAGGCTTCACCTGCTGAGGGAGACTGGTCAGAGGGGAGCATGGCGCCATTAAAGTGGGGGTTCAGGGGACACAAGCATGAGTGGAGGGGGTGGGCACAGTGTAGTTAGGAGGAAGAGCCCATGTGGCCCCCCAGGCTCCTCTCGGGATAGCTCAGTCCATCCCTGACCCCCTGCCCTGCGGAACAGGGGTGGGGGACAGCTTCTCTGCCACCAAACTAAGCCTCCCCTGTCCCAGCCTCAGGAGAAAGGGGCCAGCCTCCACTTGGCTCAGAGCCCCGCAGTATCCTGGTGCCTCCCAGCCATTGCCTGATGAGCAATGGGGAGGTGTCCCTTGCTCCCAGAAGCACCTAGGTATCCTGCTCCTCTGGGGTTCTCAGACCCAAACCACTGGGATGAGTCAAGGAGGCCACCTTTCCCCAGGCCTGGAGCAGGCACTCAGCTTGGGGGAGACTGAGGCAGTTAGAGGCCAAGGGTCAGCAGACCTGAAGCCCGCCCCCTCCCCACCATGTGAGGACTGAATGGGAGGGCAGATGGCAGCTGATGGGGTCCTACGCGGCCCCCCCACTCAGTTGTGACTCTTGGGCTGGGCTGGGCTGGGCCAGGGACGATGCAGAGCTATTTTTGCTCATGGTGCGGCAGCTGCCGCACAGAGACATCAATCATTGATGCTCTGGGTGTCCCTGCCAGCCTGGAGAGGCCCGACTCCTCATCCTGGCCCCACCAGTGCCCTGCATCCTAGGCCCTAGTTCCCAGGCACCCAGCCTCGGGAGGCTGCGGGCCAAACCGGACACCCCCGCCTATCAGCGAGGGCCGGGCTGAGGTGTGGCCTAGCGCGGTGGTCCGAGGCAGGAGGCTGAGCCTGTGTGTGCCCACAGGAGAGAGCACGGGGCACTGCAGAACAGTGCGCCCCGCCCAGCGCTCCGAGGGTGGGGGCCTTGTATGGGCCAGGGGTGGCTGTGAGTCTGGCTTGTGGGAGAGCAGGGGCTCCTGAGCCATGTCCAACTGCTGTCACCTTTCCCAGCAGGGCATCTGTCCCTGGAGGGGCCATGGGGCAGGGCTGTAGCGGGGCAGGACGACGGCAGCTCCTGGCAGCTCAGGGCTCTGCGGCAGACTCACAGCCAGGCTTTGGCTGGGGTGGGGGGGGTCGGGTAGCGACGGGCGGGGAGTGGGGGGTGGCTATGGATGGGCTTCACAGGCTCACCTGAGCAGCTTTCTCCCTGGGCTGACCCTGTGATCCTGGGGCCAGGGGGGGCTTCTGAGGCCCCTGCAGGAGGGAGGAGGGGTGGGTACCAGGAGGCAGGGCCCAGGATGGCAGGCCCTGGGGTGGGGGTGAGGGCCAAAGTATGGACCATCTCCCTTTACACAGTGGCATACCCTGCTGAGGTGCCAGGCCCTCCTAGAGATGAAATGGGGCCCCCAGGGGCCCCCTGGGGATGTGTAGGGGTGAGCATAACAGGTGATCTCGGCCTTCTGCCTGAGAGCAGGCAGGAGAAGGGAGGGGCAGCCTCTGGGGCAGGAGCGTCCTGAATCTGGGCCCTGAGCCAAGCTAAGCCAACTCCCTTGCTGCAGAGTGAGCAAGGCCCCAGCAGGGTAGTGTAAGCCCACCCAGCCCTCACCAAGGCCATGTGCAGAAGTGGCCCCAGGGAGGGTCCCTGGCCAGCCAGCGGTCCCAGGGACCACCCAGCTGCACAGGGGCTGGGTGAGGGCTGTTCCTTCAGCAGCCATGTGAGACCCCTGCTCCTGACCTCTGTTCAGGAGGGGCAGCTCCCTGGCCTCCCCACCCAGGGCCCCATCCTTGCCCTCCCCACAGAGCTGGGAGGAGCCACCATAGCCCCATCATGCTGGACATCAGGATGTCACATGGAATGAGGCCACTTCATTTGGACAGGGAGCCAGGGTCCACACGACTTTGCCAAGGTCACTCATCTAATGGGGCAGGGGGACACAGAACTGGGTCTGTGCCCTAAGTTAGTCCCTGATTATACAAGGGCCCCTTGTTCCCAGGCCCCCGCTGCCAGACTCACATACACAGACGGGCAGGCCGAGATCCCAACAGGTCCGGACAGATGTGGACCACACCCGGGGACACAAAGAGTGCCCTCTCCCTGCACCCATGAGCGACGGACTCCCAGATGGACAGAGCAGGGCAGGACTCCAGGGATAGAGGGGAGCACAGGGTCTCTGGCTGCAGGGCAATGCTGCCCAGCCTGCGGGAAAACACCAGGGCAGGAAGGGTGAGACCCACAGCCGAAGGACAGGGCTGTGCCCCGTTGTGCCGTGGGCTCAGTGGAGGGGAGGCTTCCGAGCAGTGCCGTGCATGTCTGTCCGACCTACGGCTGGCCGGCTGCCCGGCTGCAGCCCAGCTAACGGGAACTGGCACGCATGAGTCATCCTGCTGGGCAGGCTCACCTGGGCCCGGCTGGCTGTGTGCATCCCCACAGAAGCCCAGGAGTGGAGTGCGCCTGTGTGTGCTCATGGGTGTGTCTGTGTCCTGCTGTGCATACCTGGGCACGTGGGCACACCTGTGTCCGTACGTGTGGGAGTGTGTGTGCACGGGGACGTATCCGAGTCAGTCTGTGTCTGTGTGTTGGTGTGAATATGTGCGTCACCTCGTCTCCGTGTGTGTGTGATGTGTGTGTCTCTGTGTCTAGTTTGTGTGTCTGAGTGCCCGCCCCCCGTTGCAGCCTGTCTCTTTCTGCCCTGGGAACAGGTGTGTGTGTGTGTGTCCATCTGTCTGTCCCAGCACCGCTGGCACCGTTCCTAGGAAGCCCCCCGGAATGGTCCTCATGGCGGTAGTTGTGCTTTTCTGGGTCTGTTCTGGCCCAGGCCTCCCACCCCCAGCCCCAGCAGGACCCACACCGCAAGGCCCCCTTGCTCAGATCTACATCAGGCTGGGCCTCAGCTAAGTCCCTGCTTCGGTGGAAACAGAATTCTCCTGGGCCTTGCGACTCCCTGCCCATTGCCCAAGGAGTGTCATCTTCTGCATACTACCCAAGCTGGAGCCCAGGGGCCCATCCCACTCCAGTCCTTACCAAGCCCCTCTGCCATCTTCTGGAACATCCTGGGTCCTTGTCTCCCTCCTCATATTGCTGCCCTGGCCCAGCCCCCACCCACCCTCTTGTAGGGCTCCTGACTTCCAGCAGTGCCCCCCAGGGACAACCACCCTGCTCCCCCCCAGCCACCAGGTGGTCTTTCCTCAGCTCCCACCGCCCAGTCTTGCTGCCCCCTGCCTCACGGCACCTAATTCTCAGCCTGGGCTCTCTCACCCTGTCCTCGGCACACACACACTACTACTCTGTGGCCTCTGAACCCAACACTCCTCCCGCACTCCTGAAGTCCCAGCTTACACTGTCCCTTGGGAGCCTGCCAGGAACCCCTCCCCACGCACGCCCACCGCGGCACCGTGCTACTGGGCAGAGCACACCTCTGGCCTGGGAGCCCCCTCGGCAGGGCCAGTGCGGCCAAATCACACGCCCATGGCCTGCACGGGCTCCCGCTGCCTCTGTGGCCCCCAGGGTGCCCCGCACCCCAGCTTGTCACTAAAATGTCCGTCTCCGGGCTGGGAGGTAAGACTGCGGAGCGCGGGTCCAGCCCGGGAGCCCAGGCGCGGCGTGTGGAGA